GTCAAGTTTTGACTTTTTTAACCTTTCGCTTGTATTTTGAGCAAAGTCATGAGTACTTATTCACATAGGAGCAAATCGCATCTCTGAGTGTTTTATTTACCCATTTGCTACTTTGAGTACCTGCCAATCAAACCAATTTGTTGTTTGTGTGACTGATGTTCCCGCCAAATCGACTCAAATTGGTTCTTCTGTGCGTTTTGTTTTTTCGTCAACGTATCTTCATCTCTTATCACTTAACACTCCTTTGCCAAACTTCAATCACTTCAGCTCGTCGTCTCTCACAGATAATTTCTTATTCTAAAGACTGTTAAGATGGTAAGTCTATAGAGTACAACAATCAAGTTTATCGATTCTGTTACTTTTCCAGTCTTTTGAAGAAGTTGATAAGCTTTTCGACACAGAAAACGTGCAATCTGGTTACGACATTCTCAAAAAGGTTGCGATTGGTTTTCGTGCTCAGATATTCGCAAGAAAAGGTTTTAATCGTCTTCCAGCGCTACGACGAAGGCGAAAAGACACCGGATGTGCTTTGGAGGCTTGCCAAATTTTGTCAGCAACTCGCTGCCCGAGCGAAGGATAAGGCGAAGAGAAAGGAACTGACATTTGCAGGTGATGATGAGTGAATAAGGGCGCAAACCCAATGTCACAGTTTCCTCGATGCAATATCATATGGGTTCGAAGCTGGAATCAGGTCAAGATGGAAATCGTTGATGGAAGAAAAAGCGAAGGAAATATCGTTTTTATGGGTCCGGGGAGGAGGAGAAGAAGCAAGCCTACCGTCCGCATGCCGTAGCATGTTGGCGGTACTTTCAAAATAAAGAACTGTTCATGACCAATACAATGGTATGCCACCAAATTTACCATGCGCGCGCTAGGGGACTCGAACTATGGCTCAAAAATTCATGAAAACTTGTGCGAATGAAAACCTTGCTCAACTTTTTCTCCGAATGCTGGAACTGTTGCAGCTAGGCCCCAGCGTGAAAAGCTATGTGAGCAAATGGTCGATTCCAACTGAGTTGGAAAACCGGCCAGTCACCCCATAACGTTTCACGCTTTCTTCTGCATATATCGCACTTTCATCATAAAAGTCATTATACGAGCAGGAAACGGTCTCATAATCCTACCTCTGCGCCTTTTTTAGCTCTCAGTTTTCATTGGCGGCGCAATCTGTCCCGATCGCAAAGCGCGCCCTTAGGCAAAGTACTGTAAATTACGCCGCGCTTTAGGCGAAGTTGGATTGGGGGGCGTCCGCCTCGCAAAGGTTTGCGCGTTTTGCAGCTACAGTATATCGTACCGTGCTAAGCACCCTTCCGCGCCTCTTCATTTTCCTTAGTCTTGGCTTGGCAAAATGGCAGCGTTATGCGCTCGCGAAGTCCAGCGATGCGCACCGCTGCTCCACACAGAATGTTCTAATCCGGGTTGAAACCGACTATGAGTTTGGTGTTGATCCTTTATCTTTTTATGCTTTTTTTT